ATAGTATACCCCAAAACCCTATTCAAATTTATCAGGCCACTAAACCCTAAACCCTTACAGTAACCCTTATAGGATCCCTTAAAGGAGCCCCCTAAAAGGAACCCCCCCAAAGCCCTGTTCAAATTATGAAGGCCCCTACATCAGGGTTGTCGGGAGACTTGAAGTTCAGGATGTAGGATTTAGGATTAGTAAGGTTTAGGGTTTAGGGTTTAGGGTTTAGGGTTTAGGGTTTAGGGTTTAGGGTTTAGGGTTTAGGGTTTAGGGTTTAGGGAGTTTAGGGTTTAGGGTTTAAGGTTTACCCATACACCCTAAAGTAGTTCCTTTTTCATATATATAAGGTACCCCCAAAAAAAGGAACTACTATGGCGCCTATAGGTAGGGTCAGGGTTGGGGTTTTGGGAGTGTAGGATTCTGGACTTTACGATTAGTACAGAAGCCCGAACCATTGCAAATATTGCTCGTCTGGGTTCCCGACTCTAACAAACAAAAGGATAGGATACCCCCCCAACCCAAAATACCCATTAAGACAATTGCTATCTTGGATTTTGGGTTTGGGTTTTACAGGCTTTGTTGAACAACATAGGCATCCTGGTATGGAGGCCCTTGAAGAACGCGTTTAAGGTTCTAGGATTAATGATTAGGTTTCCGCCTTGTGAATTAAGGATTTTGCTTTTGGAATTATGCTTTTAGGATTTAAGGTTTAGGGTTTAGTGTTGACGGTATATGAGCGGGATTGCACTTTGGATTTGTTTTGGGATTGGGGGTTCAGGGCACGGCTTAGGCATTGGGTTTAGGTTTTAGGGTCGAATAGGATTCCGGGTTAAGGGTTTCGCACCTTTCTTTGAGACGCTGCGCGCGGTTTGACGTGTCATTCTGGTTTTGCAACCTGGTGCCCTAAACCGTAAACCCTCCTCAACCAAACCCCAAAACCCTGTGCCCGAAACTTTAAAGCCCGTATCAACCTCAGTATGCTTGTTCATCCCCTCAGCCTAAAACCCGTTACAGAGCTCTTGTGCTACCCCTGGCAGGGGCCACTAAAGGAACCCAAACTCCAAACCCTACTCCCAAGCCCTAAACCCTAAACCCTAAACCCTAAACCCTAAACCTAAAACCTTAAACCCTAACCCCAAACCCTAAACCCTAAATCCAAAGCCCTATAGAACCCTATAGCGGAGCCCGGAGCCCTGGCGAGGTGAGCCGGCTGGTGGTCGGTGCTGAGCAGCTGGTGGCGCTTCTCAGAGCCTTTCGGATGAGATTCTGATGTCAGGGTTCAGGGTTTAGGGTTTAGGGTTTAGGGTTTAGGGTTCAGGGTTTAGGGTTTCCGAATTTACTCTTCGAGAATGAGAATATTGGACAAAGATGCATAAATTACCCTAAACCCCTAGTTAATTAAACCCCTAAATTTCCCTAGACCCTAAACCCTAACCCCTTAACCCTAATTCTGAAACCCCTAAACTCTAAATCCTAAGCCCGGTGGAAGGAGCTACAATCTGGATGAAGCGGAATCCTCGCTCTCACCAGTCGCCGTCCTGTCCTCGCGCTCTCCTACAGTCAAAGCCGGAGTCGCTCAACCTAAAGATACATCCCTCACGCCAAAACTCCCTAACTCTCGATGTGCAAGAGCATTTCTTGTATGATGCATCTCAGCCTCTCGTAGTTTCCTATTGCCAGCAGTATTGAGTTTGCCGTCTTCGGCAAAGATCCCGCCCCACCCACTTGCTGGCCGAGGTAAAGATCGAGGACGATGGTGACCTCGCCGGGTCCCCTGCGGGTCGGCGGGCCATTTCATGACACATGGGTAATTCTCTGCAGTAGGTCCGTTCTTTAGGTCCCCACAGTAGTACTGCACCCGTATATGGTTTAGGGCTTAGGGTTTGGAGGTTTAGGGTTTAGGGTTTAGGGTTTAGGCTTTGGAGGTTTAGGGTTTAGGGTTTGGAGGTTTATGGGTAGTTATAAGTAGGTTATAAGTAGGTTAACTATATTTTTGACCCCTATCTCAGGGGACTTATAGATTATAGACCCGCGTAGACCTACCCATGAACCCCCAAGTGGTGGTGGACCCTAAAGCCTAAACCCTAAACCCTAAACCCTAAACCCTAAACCCCATGAACCCCCAAGTGGTGGTGGAGTTTCGGTGGAATCAGCTTGGCCGTGGTGGACTCCTTGTGATCCGACCCTAAACCCTAAACCCTAAACCCTAAACCCTGAACCCTTCCGCTGTCTTCCGCTGATCTCCTCGTGGGCTCTTGGTGTTCTCATGGGCACCGGTGGGGTCCTTCGGAGTTTAGGGCCCTAAACCCTAAACCCTGTTTTTAGGGTTTAGGGTTTAGGGTTTAGGGTTTAGGGTTTAGGGTTTAGGGTCTTCTGCTCGTTTCCCGGTGGTCTCCTCGTGGTCTGCTGGAGGGTCGTGGTGGTCGTGGTTGCCCTGATCGTAGCGATCTTCGTGGTGGTCCTGGTGGGTTTAGGGTTTAGGGGTTTAGGGGTTAAGGGTTTAGGGTTTAGGGGTTTATGGTTTAGGGCCGGTCGTGGTTGTCTTGGTCGTGGTTGTCATTGTCGTTGTGGTGCTCTATCACTTGTTTCGGGGTTTTTACGCGGGCATGATATTGGATTTTACAGCTGTCTTATCTATACGGATGTTGGATTTAGGGCTTAATATAAAAGCCTAAACAATTACCAACATTACTGTTAGGGGCCCCTTAGTATATTTATACTATAAAGGAGCCCAGAACCCTATTCTAATTATTAAGGCCCCTACATTACAGGCTTCACGGTTTAGGGCTTAAGGGTTTTCCGGCTAGGCTGTGCTTTTCGTTAAGGTTTTAGGTGCATGGCAGTTCGCTTTATGGTATATAACCTCTGCAAAGACCCTCGTCTAACTACGTATTCAGCCCTCTAGCTTGAGATAGTACCCCGTAGAAAGCCGACGAGGGATGCTAGGCCTTGGTGTAAGTCGTGTTTACATGAAGGGGCCACGTGAGACGACGGCAACAATTTGCAATCGCAGCCTTGGATCCCAGCCATAGCCTATTGTTTCGGGGGCACGATTTCCGGATAGTTGTGGGATCCTATCCTACTCTTTTTGGAAGGACAATTGGTGTAAACCCGAAACCTGAAACCGTAAGCCCTAAGCCCTAAACCTCAACTCTAAACCGCGCGCAGCCACACCCTCAGCTGGACAGTCTGGAAGCTCTGACGGGTGGAGTTTTCAGGGTTCAGGGTTTTGAGTTTAGGGTGCAGTGTTTTGGGTTTAGTGGTTAGGGTCTTTAGGGTTTAGGGTTTAGGGCTTCTCGATTTAATTGGCGGGCACTTTGGGAAACTTTAAAATATCCCTGCTGGTTCCGATAGCGGAACCTATTCAGAAATACCTTTTAAGGACCTCAAAACTACAACCCAGTTGGGGCTTTAGGGCTTTTTCGGGTTTAAGGCTAAGGAATTAACAAGTCTTGTGGGGATTGAACTGGGGCTTTTGGGGTTCTGGGGTTTAAGGCTAACCCTAAACCCTCAACTGCCCGACACCCCTAAACCATAAACCCTAAACCCTAAACCCTAAACCCTAAACCCAAAGCGTTCAGTGGGTTTAGGGTTGACGGAGACCCGGCCTCCAGCAGATAGATCTGAGACAGGTGCACGGCCTGGAACCCTCGAAAGGGAAGGGCTTAGGGTTTAGGGTTCAGGGTTCGGAGTTTAGG